CAAGTCGTACATATGGTCTTCCTCCTGTTGAAGTTAGGACTGCAGTTTAGTCATAAATAACAACATTATCAGTTTGCTTTCAATTATCTGTTTACAAGCTCAAGTGTGTCAGCACCTTGTCTCTGGTGCAGATAGTTTTCCTGCCATCAACCTCACACACTCTGGCAAACTGCAGGAAGCGATGAAAGTCAAAGTTGTTCTTGATCCCCAGGTAGGAAGAGTCCCTGAGTAGAGGCAGATTGAGGCAAGGTGAAGAAAATAGGTGTATAAAGTGAAACTGAATTTACTGGAGAGTTTTGTAGCCTATAATTTAAAATAATCAGGAGAATAATGCATTGTTCAAGGTAAAAAAAAAAAGAAGTGCTGTAGTGGTCTTCATCACAAAATGAATTGCTCTACAGCACTTCATTAAAACCTGACCTGGCCAAGTAGTCAAACTTGTCCACATCAACGCCGTTTTTTTTGTTGGACACAATTTCATAGAGGAAGGAATTTTCTTTTGGGCGCCCTTTGTACGGCCACTGCAGGGATGACGACACAAAGCGAATCAGGACCAGTTTTATTGACACGTATGTTGTTGTCAATTAATTTACACTGCATAGAAAAAATATGTAGGACCATTCCACAAAACAGAGATAAAGCTAAAATATGAACACAATAAACTGTGTACAAGCAAAAGCATGACAAAATAAACAGCAGGTTCAATTTCAAATGGAGTTCTAGGCAGATGAAAAACTTTTTTTTTAACGATTAAAAAAAAAGGACTCTTCTTGTCCGCCTTTATACTGAGGAGATGTTACAAAATAGTGACATTAGTGACATTGCTGTTGAGGACACAGACCTATTTATGCACAGATGGTGTGAACTTGCCTTTTCTTTCTTTTTTTAACTTTCTTTATTGCTTTTACATATTAACAACATTTCCATTTAGTAATGTCCGTACAGAGAATGTTTTTCACATCTTCAGGGTTCAGTTTGTATTTCTTCTTCATCTCTTTTTCAAGCGTCCTCTGTTCCTGTAATATTTACAGTTAGGGATAGAGAGATTAATTGTGAAATCGTGATAAATCGATTCAAAGGTGTCAAGATTCACATCGGTACTCTGAAAAATGAATCGCAATAATATCGTGAGCGTCAGCAGCTGTAGAGCAAGATTTTCAAATTGAGGACGCACCACCCTCTTTTAAATCAGAGGTGTGGAAGCATTTTAGCTTCCCCAAGACAGAAAATTAAAGATGTGAGAAGATAACAGACGAGACAAAAACTGTGTGTAAATATTGCAAGAAGACAGGAACTACACAAATAGCACAACCAACATTTGCAGAGTAGATCTCAAAACGTGTGTATGTGTAGTTCCCTGTCTTCTTGCAATATTTACACACAGTTTTTGTCTCGTCTGTTATCTTCTCACATCTTTAATTTTCTGTCTTGGGGAAGCTAAAATGCTTCCACACCTCTGATTTAAAAGAGGGTGGTGCGTCCTCAATTTGAAAATCTTGCTCTACAGCTGCTGACGCTCACGATATTATTGCGATTCATTTTTCAGAGTACCGATGTGAATCTTGACACCTTTGAATCGATTTATCACGATTTCACAATTAATCTCTCTATCCCTAACTGTAAATATTACAGGAACAGAGGACGCTTGAAAAAGAGATGAAGAAGAAATACAAACTGAACCCTGAAGATGTGAAAAACATTCTCTGTACGGACATTACTAAATGGAAATGTTGTTAATATGTAAAAGCAATAAAGAAAGTTAAAAAAAGAAAGAAAAGGCAAGTTCACACCATCTGTGCATAAATAGGTCTGTGTCCTCAACAGCAATGTCACTAATGTCACTATTTTGTAACATCTCCTCAGTATAAAGGCGGACAAGAAGAGTCCTTTTTTTTTAATCGTTAAAAAAAAAGTTTTTCATCTGCCTAGAACTCCATTTGAAATTGAACCTGCTGTTTATTTTGTCATGCTTTTGCTTGTACACAGTTTATTGTGTTCATATTTTAGCTTTATCTCTGTTTTGTGGAATGGTCCTACATATTTTTTCTATGCAGTGTAAATTCATTGACAACAACATACGTGTCAATAAAACTGGTCCTGATTCGCTTTGTGTCGTCATCCCTGCAGTGGCCGTACAAAAGGCGCCCAAAAGAAAATTCCTTCCTCTATGAAATTGTGTCCAACAAAAAAAACGGCGTTGATGTGGACAAGTTTGACTACTTGGCCAGGTCAGGTTCAAGTGCTGTAGAGCAATTCATTTTGTGATGAAGACCACTACAGCACTTCTTTTTTTTTTACCTTGAACAATGCATTATTCTCCTGATTATTTTAAATTATAGGCTACAAAACTCTCCAGTAAATTCAGTTTCACTTTATACACCTATTTTCTTCACCTTGCCTCAATCTGCCTCTACTCAGGGACTCTTCCTACCTGGGGATCAAGAACAACTTTGACTTTCATCGCTTCCTGCAGTTTGCCAGAGTGTGTGAGGTTGATGGCAGGAAAACTATCTGCACCAGAGACAAGGTGCTGACACACTTGAGCTTGTAAACAGATAATTGAAAGCAAACTGATAATGTTGTTATTTATGACTAAACTGCAGTCCTAACTTCAACAGGAGGAAGACCATATGTACGACTTGTTCTATACAAGACACCG